TATAGATATGAACCAGGCTGTCTCTACCATCCAAGGAAACTTCTGTGCTTTTATTGTTATTGTGCTTTTATTAAACAATAAATTGAAAGAAGTTTCCTTGGATGGTAGAGAAAGCCTGATTTATACGTGTGTGTGTGTGTGTGTGTGTGTGTGCGCGCGCGCGCGCATGTATGTGAACCAGGTTCTCTCTACCATCCAAGGAAATTTCTTTCAATAAAAGCACAACAGCCACCAAAAAAACTAAAGGTGGTAGGAGAATTATATTAATTAATTCCCTTTTTCTTTATTTAAAGAATATGTCCTAAATAACTGTCACTAATTCCAAATTCCCACTGGTTCCCCTAGGTTGTTGCTGGGAAGCATCTTAAGAAACTTCCAGTTGATCTTTAACAGAAACTTTCCATTTCCAGAACTAAAAGCCTTTCTGTTGGCCTGGAATCAGCTGTATAAATTAAATCTAGTGGATTTTGTTTGTTTGTTTGTTTTTTGAGACAGATCTCACTCTGTCACCCAAGCAGGAGTGCAGTGACATGATATTGGCTCACTGCAACCTCCACCTCCCAGGTTCAAATGATTCTCCCATCCCTGCCTCCCAAGTAGCTGGGACTACAGGTCCACGCCACCACATCCGGCTAATTTTTGTATTTTTTGGTAGAGATAGGGTTTCACCATGTTGGCCAGGCTGGTCTCGAACTCCTGGGCTCCAGTGATTTGCCCACCTTGGCCTCCCAAAATGCTGGGATTATGGGCGTCAGCCACTGCTCCCGGCCTAAATCTAGTGTTACACTCTCATTAAATATCTAGAAAGCTGACTATGAGATAAAAGTCTAAGTAATAATAGGCAACCCAGATGGGATGAGGACTGTTTCTTATAGTGCCTAGAATGTTGTTAGGGATTAAACTGGTACTGAGGAGTTCCACTTCTCCCTGTTAAATACTGGGAATACTGCCATACTGCAATATTTTGCATTCTGTAACTGTTTGCAAGTTATGGTATTAACATGTTTTTCTAAATTCTAAACTTTTAATGTAAGAACTTCCTCTTTAAGTTGTTCTGAGTATTTGTCTACTTCTCTTACCCCATCCCCACCAAATTGATCACAATCACACTGACCACAATGGCACCCAATATTACAAAACAACATTTTAAACATAGTATATGCCTACTACCTGATTGATAACAAAATGTAGAGACAGTTAGCTTAAACTTCACAGACAGGTAAATAATCTGGAAATAACATGGAGGAGAGCTTCAGAAAGATGAATAACAGCAAGAAGGCTCAAAATATTTAATATCAATTTTGAATTTTAAAAGAAGAAAAGATTCTTGATTCAACCAATCATACTTTATTAAGTGCCAAGAAGGAGATATTGGAGATATAAAATTAAGTAAGACATGTTGTCTGCCCTCTTCAGTCTAGTAGAAGAGACAGGCACAAACATAAGCATAACACAGTAGTCCTTGCAATAGCACAGATTCCGTACTATCATTGTTGCTATATAAAAATCCTCTCATCCCTTTGCTTTCAACTATAATTCTGTTCAATTCACAAATTCTTATACCTAAAAACAGATCTTATCCCGTTAAACTAAAACATGTTAAAGATATGTCAAAATACCACTTTACTTTCTCTTTCTTTAGAGGCTTATTTGATGAAACAGCACAAGCAAGGAGGATCTCAAAAAAGGAAAGACCCCAAAAACTGGTTCCATCCCAATTCATCCACAGAACAAATGCCCCTTAGAGCCAGTTAACAAACATTCCAGGATGGACCTAACCTAATAGGACTGATCTGATCTCTCCTGAGTTCTCCAGATTCAAGAATAATGGCTTCTCAATGGTTTCTTCTTATGTGAATCTGAAACAGAAATGTTAAGCCTCTTTCAGATTATAAACTAGCCTCTGAGGGCTAGGAAATATGGCAATTCCCTGTTTTCACTACATGCCAAATGCCTATCAGCTAGCAACACAGGAGACAGGGGAACAGTCACTGGGGTAAATGGATATACGTGGAGTTATGAGAATCCCTTCTCATAACTATGACTGCTATGAAAAAGAGACGAGGCCACCATAGAATGAGACTGAAGGGAAGAAGGTATGACATGTTTTGGAAGAACATCAGATTTAGTTGGAAAATTGATTCTAGTCCTAGAGCTGCTAACAAGCTAGAGAACCCTGAGCAAGTCACTTACCCTCTTTGAACCTCAATTTTTCCATCTATAAAATGTTAACAGAGTTAAATTATTAGTAAGGTCCTTTCTAATAATAAAACCGAAGTCTAGGAGCACAGAGACATTTAACAGCTAGACATACTACATCCATGCACTGCATAATGACATTTCAGTCAATGACTGGCTGCATATACAACACTGGTCCCATGAGATCACCATGGAGCTGAAAAATTCCATTCACGTAGTAACATCACATTACAACACATTGTTCATGTTTGTGGTGATGGTGGTGTAAACAAATCTACTGTACTGCTAGTCAGATAAAAGTGTAGCACACACAATTATGTACAGCACATAATACTTGCTAATGAAAATAAAATAACTCTGCTACAAGTTTATGGATTTACTATATTTTTAGAGTAAATACAGTCTATTCCTTCTACTGATAAAGAAAAGTAAGCTGTAAAACAGCCCCAGGCAGGTCCTTCAGGAGGTATCCCAGAAGAAAGCATTGTTATCTTAAGACATGATGCCTCCACGCCTGTTATTGCCCCTGAAGACTTTCCAGTGGGACAAGATGTAGAAGTGGAAGACAATGTATCTTAGTACATTTAGAGTTGCTATAAAGGAGTACCCAAAACTGGATAATTATTATAAAGAATAGAGGTTTATTTGGGTCATAGTTCTGCAAGCTTTACAAGAAGCATGGCACTAGCACCAATGCCTTTTCTGAGGGCCTCAGCCTGCTTTCTCTCATGGCAGAAAAAAGTGAAGGGGGGCCAGCATGTGCAGGGATCACAGGCAAAAGAGGAAGCAAGAGAAAGAAGGAGAAGGAGACAGATTCATTTCAACAACCAGATCTTGTGGGAATTAAAAGAGTGAGAGTTCACTCACTCCTTACCTCCAAGGAATTCCATTAATCTATTCACGAGGGATCTGCCTACATGGCCCAAACACCTCCCATTAAGCCTCTCCTCCAACACTGGGGATCAAATTTCAGCATGAGGTCTGGAGGGCTCATATATCCAAACCACATCACAGTAATATCAAATGAGTAAATGTGAAGGCTTAGGAAAGGCCCAGGTGTGTGATCATGTCTTCATTATTATTATTATTTTTTTTTTGATACAAGATAAAAACCCTATACATAGAGAAAACTGTATCACCTAGGCTATAGTGCAGTAGTGCCATCACGGCTCACTGCACCCTCTATCTTCCAGGCTCAATCGACTCTCCCACCTCAGCCTCCTAAGTAGATGGGACCACAGGTGCACGCCACCACACCCAACTAATTTTTGTATTTTTTGTAAAGCAGGAGTCTCGCCGTGTTGCCCAGGCTGGTCTTGAACTCCTGGGCTCAAGTGATGCACTTGCCTTGGCCTCCCAAAGTGCTGGAATTACAGGCATGAGCCACTGTACCCAGCCCCCATGTCTTCATTTTTAAAGAAAAAAGTTAAAAGGAAAAGAAAAATTTTTAATAGAAAAAAGCTTATAAGAATATTAAGAAAAAATATTTTGTACAGCTGTACACTGTGTTACTGTTTTACGTATTATTACAAAAGTCAAAGTTTTTTAAAGTAAAAATATTATAGTAAGCTAAGGTTTATTATTGAAGAAAGGAAAATATTTTGTATAAGTTTAGTGTACCCTAAGTATGTAGTGTTTATCAAGTCTACAGCAGTGTACAGTAATGTCCTGGGCCTTCACTTTCACTCACCGACTTATCCAGAACAATTTCCAGACTCGTAAGCTCCATTCATGGTAAGTGCCCTATACAGGTGTGCCATTTTTAATCATTTATATTGTATTTAATACTGTACCTTTTCTAGGTTTAGATACGCTTAGATACACAAACACTTACCATTGTGTTACAACTGCCTACAGTAGTCAGTACAGTAACATGTTGTATAGGTTTATAGCCTAGGAGCAATAGGCTATGGCCATACAGCCTAGATTCAGGTTTATGTAAGTACACTCTATGGTGTTTGAACAATGATGAAATTGCTTAACATTAAGTGACACAACACTGCCTTTGACCCTAGCAGTCCTAAGAACACTCCAACAACTTTTATTAAATTTTCACCAATTTGTCAAAACTCAGTTACCTGGTTCAAGATGGCTAACTACAGATATCAGACAGCCACCCTCTCCAGAAATAAGAGTCAAAATTAGGAATAAAAATAACTCAAGTGGAAGAGAACAACAGAGTTCAAGGGTGAATTCACAGAAAACACCGGAGGTATAGAAAGATAAGAAAGGGAGCAGCCAGCTTAACCAAGATCAGCCAAGAGCCCCGAGGGACTCTGTATTACAGGAAAACAGTAAGTAAAAAAGCTTCAGCAGTCCACGCCTCTGCAATGGACTGTTGTGATCTGAACCACAGGAGAGCTCCTCTACCTACATGAACCCTGACACTGGCACAGGTACAGATTTGGAAACCCTGCAACGGCAGCCAGTGCACCAGACAGGAAACTCATGCTGGGTCACTCACCATTCCCCAAGACTTGAATGGCTGTGGTGGCACAGCACTGGCTGGATCTAAAATACTTGAACCCATAGGGAATACTACTCCCCAGGGAAAAAAAAAGGTGCAGTGCACTGAAAGGCAGTACCTGGGACAAAGGAAACCCAAGCACACTCTACAGTATCTGAGAGCTCTCTGTAGTGGGCCATGAGAAGTGACTCCCAAGCCCAGCAATGACAAAAACCTGTGCTTGGCTTTGCAAGGGAAGAGTGAGGTCTTCTCCCACTAGTGGAGCAGCCTCTTTGATCAATCTCTCACATAGAGAATGGTACCCCTCCCCCTGTTCTGTATACCTGTTCCTGCTACCACCGGAGGCTGGGCCAGGCAAACTGGAGGGCTACCTATCTGGTGTGGTGAGTGGTGACTGAAACCCCACTGGCAGCATGGCTTCCATGCCAAGGCTCATATGCAAAGCCAGGGCCCCCTGCACCACTCTGTATAGCACTGCGGCACTGCTGCTATAGAGAGCAGGAAAGCCTGGTAGCAGCATTTCTGGGGCTGACCCTGTATTGCCACCACCACCAGCCCACACTTATAGGGACCCAGAAGGTAATCAAGCCACCCCTACTGCCATTGCTCACACCACTCCAGCTGGCCAGGGACATGAGGACCTGCTCACCTATCCTGTCCCCACAGCCACTACTGGCACTGGAATAAGCCATGTGAAGGTCCAAGAGTTGCCCCAATGGTAACCACTGACACAGGTGCCGGCATGTATGAGGCTGTTCTTGCATTGCTATAAATACCTGAGGGTGAGTATTATAAAGAAAAGAGGTTTAATTGGCTATTGGTTCTGCATGTTGTAGGAAGCATGGCACCAGCATCTGCGCAGCTTTTGGACAGGCCTCAGGGTGTTTTTTCTCATGGTGGAAGGCAAAGGGGGAGCTGGCATATCACATGCCAGAGTGGGAGTGAGAGAGAGAGGGGGAAGGTGCCACACACTTTTAAACAATCAGGTCTCCTGAGAAGTTACTCTTTATTGTGAGGACAGCACCAAGGGGTTAATGGTGAACTATTTACAAGAACTCTGCCCCCATGACCTCCCACCAGGCCTCTCCTCCAATACTGGGGATTACATATCAACATGAGACTTGGGGGGACAAATATCCAAACTATATCAATCACACATTGCCCTGAGGAACAAAGGCATGCACAGCCCACTGCTGCCACCACTAGGGTCTAAAGACTGGCCTACCTGGCTTCCCAGTCCATACCACAACTTCACCACAGCTTCCACTAATAACTGCACTCTAACTTTCCAAGGAAATAACAGATAATAGTAAAGTTATTTACAGCCATAGAAACCATGCAGCAACTACAATACTGCATGCAACCAGAATCAAAGTCAAAGAGCCCTGCTCAATCATACCACAGATACACCTTTAAGAAAAAGTCTTCTACTACAGAAAGTAAATTCAAAAATAGGAAGAAGAGACTGTTATATCAGATGCACAGATATCAACATGAGGACACAGAAAACATGGAAAAGCAAGAAAATATGACATCTCCAAAGGAATACAACAATTCTCCAACAACGTATTTTAATGTTTAAAACTCTTCGACATTCCAGATAAAAATTCAGAATATTGATTTTTTTTCTTGCAGATTCATCAGGACAGAATAATGATTTTACAGAAGCTCAGATTAATTCTGAAACACAATGCAAACAAATGAGAATAACAATTAAGGATATGAATGTGAAATTTACCAAAGAGATCGATATCTTTAAGAATAACCAAGCAGAAACTTTGGAACTGAAGAATTTATTGAAGGAAATATAAAATACATTAGAGAAAGCTTCAACAAAAAACTAGACAAGCAGAAAGATAAAAAGGCTAAGAACGTAAAGATAGATCTTCTGAAATAATGCAGTCAGACAAAAATAAAAAATTAAAAAGAATGAGTAAAGCATTCAGGACATCTGGGACAACATAAAGAGACCAAATATACAAATTATTAGTATCTCCAAACACGAAGAGAAAATGAAAATATTAGAAAATCTATTTAACAAAATAATAGATGGAAACTAAGTCTAGCAAGAGATTTAGATATTCAGATACAGGAGGTTCAACAATCCCCAGAAAGATACAATGCTAAAAGATCTTCCCTGCAATTTTAATCAGATTGTCTAAAGTCGAAGCCAGCAGGATGTGGTGGCTCCCACCTGTAATCCCAACACATTGGGAAGCCAAGGTGGAGAAGCACTTGAGCCCTGGAGTTTGAGGTCAGCCTGGGCAACATACTGAGATCCCGTCACTACAAAAATTTAAAATTAGCTGGGCATGGTGATGTGTATCGGTGGTCCCAGCTACTCAGGAGGTTGAGGTACAGGGGAATTGCTTGAACCTAGGAGTTCAAGGGATCACACCACTGCACTCCAGCCTGGGCAACAGACTGAGAACTTGTTTCTAAAAACTAAATAAATACATATATAAATAGTCAAAGCTAAACAGCAAGACAAAACCACTGTCACCTGTAAAGGGAACCCCATCAGACTAACAGAAGATTTATCAGCAGAAACTTTATAGGCTGGAAGAGAACAAGATGATAAGTCAAAGTGCTGACAGGAAAACACACACACACACACACACACACACACACAGCCCCACCCACCCACCCACCCACCCAGAGAAGCAAATGCTCAGGGAATTCATTACCATTAGCCCAGCCCTACATGAAATAATCAAGGGAATCCTAAACCTGGAAGCAAAAAGACATTTACCATCATGAAAACACACGGAAATATAAAACTCATTGGCAAAGCAACCACACAAAGAAAAAAGGACTCAAATGGTACCAGTACAGACATCCACTATGCCATAATGACTAACAAGGAGAGAAAAAGAAAGAAACAAAATATGTAGCACTATCAGAAAATAATTAACAATATGACAGGGACAAAGCCCTGCATATCAATGACCTTGATAATAACTAAACAGATTAAATTCTCTATTTAAAAGATACACAATGGTTGAATGGATTTAAAAACAAAACAAAACAAAACACAATCCAACTGCTTATAAGAAACTCAGCTCACTAATAAAGACACATATAGACTGATAGTAAAAGAATGGAAAAAGACATTCCATGCAAATGGAAACCAACAGCAAGCAAGAGAAGTTATATACTTACATCAGATAAAAGACTTTAAATCAAGAACAGTAAAAAAAAAAAAAAAAAAAAAAAAAGACAATTAACTAATTGTAGGGTATTAAATAATGAAAAAGGAATCAATCCCAGCAAGATGATATAACAATTACAAACATATATCCACCCAACACTGGAACACCCAGATTCATAAAGCAAATATCATTAGATCAAAAAAGAGAGATCCAATAATAGTGGAGGACATCAACACCCAAGTCTCAACATTAAACAGATCACCTAGACAGGAAATCAAGAAATAAACATTGAATTTAAACTGGAGTTTAGACAAAATGGTCCCAACAGACATTTACAGAACATTCTATCCAACAGTTGCAGAATATACATTTTTTTCATCAGTATATGAAACATTCTCCAGAATAGACCTTTTATTAGGCCACAAAATAAGCCTGAATAACTTTAAAAAAAAACTGAAAACATGTTAAGTATCTCTTCAGACCACAATAAAATAAAACTAAAACCAATATGAAGAAGAACTATACAAATACATGAGTGGGGTTGGGGAAAACACGCTCCTGAATGACCATTGGTTTGACTAAGAAATTAAGATGAAAATAAAGGCTGGGTACCATGACTCATAGCTATAATCCCAGCATTTTGGAAGGCCAAGGTGGGAGGATCACTTGAGCCCAGGAGTTCAATACCAGACTGGGCAACACAGTGAGACTCCATCTCTACAAAAAAATTTAAAATTAGCCAGGTGTGGTAGCACACACCTGTAGTCCCAGCCACTAAGGAGGCTAAGGCTGGAGTATCCCTTGAGTCCAGGAGGTCAAGCATTACACTGGAAAAACAGAGACTAAAAAGACACCTTTCCTTCAAGACCAGCCTGGCCAACATGATGAAACCCGGTCTCTACTAAAAATACAAAAAATTAGCTGGGCGTGGTGGTGGGCACCTGTAATCCCAGCTACTCGGAAGGCTGAAGCAGGAGAATCGCTTGAACCTGGGAGGCAGAGGTTGCAGCGAGCCAAGATCTCACCACTGCACTCCAGCCTGGGAAACAGAAAGGAAAAAAAAAAAAAAAAAAAAAAAAAAAAAGACACCTTTCCATGGTGTATAGGAATGCGAATAATATTTTTTTAAACTTGGAAATAACCCAAATGTATATCACAGTAGAAAGAAGAAATAGTGATGTATTTATATAGAGGAATACTACAGAGCAGTTAAAATTAATGAACTAGATGTAACAAACACGTAATGGCAGTACATTTTATGTACTACATGTGGGCATCTAGCCAAAGAGGTGAGCAAGAGCAGACATTTAATCCACATTCAATGTGTCAAACCACAAACGCTGACATAGGGCTACATGTGTCCAGAGAAAGGAGTACCTTTTTCTTTATACAAAGGTTAATTTTGCTCACGTGAAGTGCTATTTTGGTACAGAGAGATACCTCTTTCTTTTCTTTCTTTTTCTTTCTCTTTCTTTTCCTTCCTTCTTTTCCTTTCTTTCCCTCTCTGTCTTTTTTTTTTTTTTTTTTTTTTTTTTGAGACAGAGTTTTGCTCTTGTTGCCCAGGCTAGAGTGCAATGGCGTGATCTTGGCTCACCACGACCTCCACCTCCCAGGTTCAAGCGATTCTCCTGCCTCAGCCTCCTGAGTAGCTGGGATTACAGGCATGCACCACCACATCCAGCTAATTTTGTATTTTTAGTAGAGATGGGATTTCTCCATGTTGGTCAGGCTGGTCTCAAACTCCCGACCTCAGGTGATCTGCCCACCTCAGCCTCCCAAAGTGCTGGGATTACAGGCGTGAGCCACTGCACCTGGCAAGAGGTACCCCGTTCTAATTCTCACAAAGGTGGCAAGTAAGCCAGGGGCTCTAGTAACACTAGGGATGAAACTCAGAAATACAATGTAAAGTGAAAAAGCAAGTCAGAGAACATGCTCATTATGATTCCATTTCTATAACGTTCCAATAGTGGAAAATAAACTACTGTTTAGAAATAAAAACATATGGAGTTAAACTATAAAGAAAAGCATGGGAATAAGACACGAAATTCAGGATGCTGGTTACCTCTCATCGGAGCGAACAGAAAATAGGATAGGGGAAGCAAGAACTTCAAAGGTAATAAATAGTAAGGCTCTATTTCTTAAACTGAGTAGGGGTATGTATTAGTTCAATGTATACTTATACTTTATACCTCACATATATTTTACAAATATCTTATACATATATTCAATATTAAATTGTTTTTAATTGGGGAAAAAAACTTACTCCCTAAACTTAAAAAGCTTAAACTCAAGAGGAAGAAAATCATAGGCTATAAATACAGCATGATGTGGGCTCTGACAAAAATGTACAGTTTGAGGCCAGGCGTGGTGGCTCACACCTGTATTCCCAGCACTTCGGGAGGCCAAGGCAGGCAATCACCTAAGGTCAGGAGTTCAAGACCAGCCTGGCCAACATGGCGAAACCCTGTCTCTACTAAAAAATTCAAAATTAGCCAGGTGTGGAGGCAGGCGCCTGTAATCCCAGCTACTCAGGAGGCCGAGGCAGGGAGAATTGCTTGAACTCGGGAGGTAGAGGTTGCAGTGAGCCAAGATTATGCCACTACACTCCAGCCCAGGCAACAGAACGAGACTCCGTCTCAAAAAACAGATGTACAGTTTGACAGCTTCAAAAAGAAGCACTAACCTCATTTTACATGATGTGATTATTACGCAGTGCATGCCAATATCAAAACATTTCATCTACCCTGTTAAGTATATATATACCTATTATATACCTACAAAAATTAAAATTAAAAATTAAACAAAAACAAAAAGAAACACCAAATAGGTTGAGGCATGCCAAAGTGCTTTATAAACTACTACCGATACTACAAAGTGATAACTACATCAATATTAAAATGGTTCTTCACATTGGTTTCAGGGTGATTAACAGTTTAAGCATTACTTATGTTCGATTTTTAAAACAAGTCACATAGCACTTAAATACAATGGTATTATTTCTAATAAGGATATACGTTCGATTTTTAAAACAAGTCACATAGCACTTAAATACAATGGTATTATTTCTAATAAGGATAATGTATGCAGGAGCCATCACACAGTGAGTCTACTAAGTATCAAAATGAAACCAAAGGAAAATTTTCAAATTGTTACTCCATAGGCTAGAAAAATGATTAAGTAATAATTCTTACTTTACTCCCCAGAATAATACTTAGCAGGAAGTAGGGGGAAACGCTTGACTGAAGAAACCAATTGCTTCTCAAAAATCAATATTTCAAATTCATCTGAGTTTCTTTTTTAACTGCTCTTTAAAATACTAACCACAGAATAATAAAAGTATAGTTATGTTCCCATTTACAGTTTTAGAATACTATTCTATCTGTATGTACCTATATATAAATCCATGATGCATTTTTAAAAGTCTGGAAAAGGAAATAGATGAAGACTTGAGAGAAAGGGATGGGGAGAAATTCTTCAGTTTTGTTCGAATGATCTCAAAAATTCCATGTTTCAAGATTGATGAGCAACAGGGCTTCTATAAAACTGTGGGCCCATTTTGGGTATCTAAGCCATGCTTTTCCCCAAGTCCTTTAGAAACCACCCTCACAGAGTTAATGGAGAACTACAAGCTAGTCTTTAGGCAGAATTATAGTCAGGCACTGACCAGGGTGCACTGGGGTACTTCAACCCACTTCCCTGCAGCTGCTAACTAACCAAGAGTCATGTGGCATGCTGACCACGTGCTCCGCCATTGTTCCTATAGACAGAATCTCTGACACTGGACCTTTTTACCCTAGAACTGCTTATGGTGTTTTTCAGATCCTGAATTCCAGCAGAATGGCTAAAGCCAAACAGTCTAAAGATCACAACCAAGGAACCAACTCTGCACAGGATTGCCATTTCTTCATCTCCCTGTCCCAGGACCTCACCCCTTGCTTCTTGATCAATCAGCAATGCCCACCTTTTAGCCCATCACCTGCTTGTTCAGACCCTTTAAAAGCTCCATCCCCAAGCCCTTCAGGGAGGCAAATTTGAAGGTTCCTCTGTCTCCTCATTTGACTGACCTACAATTATTAAACTCTCTCTCTACTGCAAATCCCATTGTGTCTGCATACTGGTCTGTCACCATGCAACAAACAATCAAACCTAGTGGACCTAAAACACTTTCATTTAACTTTATCTAGTTAAAATACAGTAATTTTTAAACCAGTCTATTTAAGTGGAGAAGTGGAACAGTTTGTAACAAACCATGTTAAAAAATATAAACATAATAATAAGACCAATATAAATAAGCTATGATACACTAGTTAACCTCATAATGATCATGTGTCAACCAATAAATTATCACAAATCATCCCTGCACAAAGCTTTTAATCTACTATATAGTGCAGACTCAAGTGTATTCAATTATATTAGCATTTTTATGCCCTAAAACGACAAACCAAAGTTTAAAAATTGCTTGATAAGAACAAAAGAATAATATCAAAGTTATCTCAGATTATATTTTAAAAATCAAATTGGTATTTTTTATTATCAGATTATAATTTCAGGTTGTACTCTTGAAGCTAAAGAAAATCAATGGCAAGATCATTTGTACCATATCAATTTTCAAATTCAACTGTAGAACCACTCTAAGAAAGAACTATTCAGTTTATTAATTCCATCCAATAAACATCGCACTAACACCAACCTTAAAACTGCTTATTAGTATTTTGTAGGTACTTTTGATGAACGTACCTATACCCTATCATAAATCTTTATACCTAAATCCTATTTAAGTAATCCAATATATCAATCAGAAGAGCTAGAAATTATTATTCCTCCACTTACATTCAAAAATTGCTTGGGATATGGGGTACCTTTACAAGATCATTAAGTTCTTTTTTAAAAAAAATACAAAATGATTTAAATTATATTTTACATATAAAATATAAAATTATTATATTTTATTTTTAATTCTAAAGTCCACAATCAAGTTTAATGTAAACAGAATAAAATTTGTATTCTGCTATCTACTGCTATACTGCTACAAATATATAAATATAAAAGTTTACACAGTAATTCTGATTACACAGTGATTTTGGAAAACTTAGAAATTACAGAAAAATCATGCTATAATCCTGCCATTCCAAACTACCCAGATACCTGCTATTAATATATGATTTAATAGTAAGTTTTTAGAATTTCATTACTGAGTCTTTTCTTCTAAAAGAGACAATCATATAACTTTTAACCATGTTAACATGGTATATTATATGCACAGATTTTCTAAAATTAAGCCATCTCAGCATATATGGGCTAAACGAAACTTGGTTATAGTGTTTAATACATGGTTGGATTTATCTTGCTAATATACTTTTTTAAAGATTTTACATGTCTATTCATGACTAAAATAAACCTGTATTTTTCTCTTTCATAACATTTCTATCTGGTGTAAAGATCAGAGTTATATAGGTCTTACAGAATGAGTTGGGAAGTATTTCCTCTTTTTCTATTGTCTGGGAAAGTTTGTATAAAAATTTAGATGATCTGCTCCTTGAAATTTTGGTAATACTCATCTGTTAAATGATCTGAGCCAAGTTTCCTTTGTGAAATGATTTTTTTTTTTAAACCACTTGTTCAATTTCTTCAACAGTTACAGGATTATTTAAGCTGATTATTTTTTTCATGAGTTCCAAAAATTTTTTTCTAAAAACAGATGTATTCCTATCCACAGTAAATGGACCAAAAATTCACTACACTTCAAAGTTGTGACATCCTTTTATCTGAATTTAAGACTAACAACGTTATTTAGACTTAAGAGTACTAAATAACATGTCAGTTTGTTTTTATTTTTAATGAGTAGGAATCCTGTAACAGGTCTAAAAATAACTACCACAAAACCACATGGTACCACAAAACCGTAACTGCTCCTTTTGACAAAAAGAAATAGGTTTGCAAAAATTTTAGCTACCACTTACCACCAGAAACAGGGGCATCCATGAAAACTGCTCCCATTTTCTCAACTTCTTTGGCTAATTCTTTTGAAACTGCAGGATCAATAGTGCTGGAATCTATTAACAATGAGCCTTTCTTCACTTTTCTAAATAAATAAATAAAAATATTTCTAGTTTACAACTCTGAGTAAAAATTTCATGCAACTATCTACAGAATTAGAAACTGCTAAAAAGCTGCCATGTGTCAAGCAGGTTTTTAGTTTAGTATTAAAAGCATTATTAATTAGAACAGGTTTTAAAATCTTATGTTCTTTTTTAGATCAATTATAGTTCAAAAGTAAAGCCAAACTTTTTCAAAAAATCCGAAAAATCTAATATACTACATGGCATAAATTCTGATTTCAGGTGAAATACACACTAACCATAATAATAAACATGAGGCTAAGATGTAAGCAATTTAAAACACCTTTTAACTTTAAAAGGGTATTTGATAGGACTTAAATTTTTGTTTGTAAAATAGTTGACTCATTAAAAAGTAATTTATTTGTCTTTAACAAGCAAATTTCATATATCCATGTTATTTCCACTATGAAGAATAAACATAAGCAATTGAAATCTAGCCATTTGTGTCAGGATGGCATATTCTTTTATAATTATAACTTTCTAATGACAAAATAAAATATCAAACAGGTAGAAAGGAAAATATATGAAAGAATCTGAAAATCTCACAGTCTTTTTGGCTTTTTAGGGTAACTTATGTATAAAAACTATAAAGGGAAAAGAGTCTTCATATATCATATTTTGCATCAATATTTAAATGGTATTCTTACAGAAAAAATTTTCATTTTACTATAAGTACAAAATATACACCTACATAATTCCCTTGTTATCTATAAGGCAGTGTCTATCTTCACTGGCTAAGAAACTCTAACCTAAATTATAATTTCTTTAAAGGGCTATGGCTAACCTTTCATTCAAACTTTACAAAGTTCTTTTTTTTTTTTTTAAGACAGGGTCTCCTACCTCAGCCTCCCACGTAGCTGGGACCACAGATGCATGCTACCATACCCATCTAAGTTTTAAATTTTATGTAGAAATGAGGCCTCATCATGTTGCCCAGGTTGATCTTGGACTCCTGGGCTCAACCAATCATCCTGCCTCAGTCTCCCAAAGTGGTGGGATTACAGGTGTGAGCTACTGTGCCTGGCCAAACATTTCAAAGTTCTTACTATAGGTATACTAACCCAGAAGACATGGAATCATGATTAGAAAATTAAAACTGAATAAATACTGAAGAAGAAAATAGAAAAATCATTGATAAAAACTACTAAAAAGAATCTATTTTAAAAATATCACACAAAATGGTTTAAACATAACCAGGCATGGTGGCTCATGCCTGTAATCCCAGCACTCTAGGAGGCCAAGGCAGAGGGATCACTTGAGGCCATGGCTTGGAGACCGGACTAGGCAACATAGCAAAACCAATTCAAAATAAAAAGAAAAATACATATAAAAGTCTTTAAACAACAATTACAGACATATGAATTGTTACAATTCAAATGCAATGGTTGTGTATATTTCACAGAAGAGAAATAGCATACTCTAAGAGTATCTAGGTTTCTCTTTAACCTAAAAAAAAAGTTTATCAATCTGTGATCTTAATATTTTAAGATCTTAAACCTTTAAACAAATGGAAAGTCATCCTAAAAATTATACATGCACTGGGTATGTGGAAATGCTCCTCACCCAGAAAAAATAAAGAACCACCCATAAGAAGCAAATTATAGTTCAATGTAAAGCCAAACTTTTTAAAAACACTCCCTGAACAAAACTGTTCTGGTAGCTAGTCACTATATACCTCAACAAAGGCTATTAACACATGCCGAACTATATCTCCTCTTTTTAGCAACTTTTCCTTGAGAGGTAAAGCAGGACCATAAATGAAACAGGCTAGGTAACGGGACAGCTAGGATGCCTCCGGACCACACACACTGTGGCCCTGAGAGCTCCATCCAAAATGAGTGTCTTTTAACCTTCCCCGAAATCTAAACATTTATCTTATCAGTTTTCTGCCCAATATCCAAGTGTCTTTGCTTCCTTCCTTACAAGTTGGTTAGTTTTCTAACGCAATTCCGTTTTCAAAAACTTCAAATTTCACATATTACAGTTTCATGAAATTAAACCCTTTCTTTTAGCCCTTCATGTGACTACGGCATCTACAGTTTGCTCTAGCTCTTTGCTGAAACTGAATAACAAAATAAGTTAGGAATAGAAACAGTGAGATGAGAAAACTAAATTAGGAATTCAACCACTGACATCCTAACATAACCGCAAGGGTTTGGCAATAAGCAGCAATTAACCAAAAAGTTTCTAGAGCCAGGGAAAATAGGCACTGGTTAGGAAACTCTGACCTAAGCTATATTTTACTTAACCGATTTATGCCTAGTGTTCCATTACTGGAACGCCAAGTTTGTGGGAGTTATTTACATCCTACTGCTCAAGGTCATTGACAAAGTGTGATTCTTCCCAAAAATAATTTGCAACCCCTGACATAAAGAGCTACGCTAACCTTAATTCCAACTTCCCAAAGTAATTCCAACTTCCCAAAGTTCTTACTACAGACATACTAACCCACAGGACATACAGTAACTTTTTTCATATAATAAAATGTTTAACAATGGTGTTCTTTCCAATGTTTGACTACATTTTTCATAAAATGCTTTTCCTGAATTTCTATAAGCTGTAAGAAAATTTTATTATTAATAGTTGCACAGTTTAAAATGTAAGTTTTAAAAGCCTCTTAAACATATTACCAATGAAAGGGTAAATTTAATGCAAGAGTTAAAGAAATAGAACCAAAAGAATTTATTCGCAATGTCACATACTTGACATCAGTGAAAAAATAAGCCTTTTACAAAGAGAAAACCCACCACACTATTCACTTTATGAAAAAAGGAAATAGTATAGAAAGGCTTAACAAACAAAATTGTAATTTCCTAATAGTTCTAACACGTGAAATTCATGAACTATCCTAAGAAGAAAATATCCACAGTTGAGAAATACATA